TAGATATGGCCACATATTGTTGGACACTGGTATAATGGTATACAATATACCAGTAGATATGGCCACATATTGTTGGACACTGGTATAATGGTATACAATATACCAGTAGATATGGCCACATATTGTTGGACACAGGTAATGATATAGTGTACATGACGGAAACCTCGGAGAGACTTGGTAATCTTTAGAATTGGGATCAATTGATTCAGTCACCACTAGAACCATTTACAAGGCAATCCAGCTGTCAGATTGTGAAAATGCAAAGGTTTCTATTGTTATTCAAGGCAGTGCTTTAATAAATGCTTTGCATTCCTTTCATAAGAATATCTAAGGTTATATTGTAGCCATTTTTTTATAAAACAAAAAACGTTCATTTTTAACGTCTATTAAAATTGTTTTAAAATGTTGTTATTACGAATTTTGAACATGAGGTCATCGATTTGACTTTATTAAATGGTGCTTTTGTTGTTTCAAATTTATTACTGTTTATTACTTGTTTTATCCTTTTGTTTCCTTTATTTCGTCCCGTAAGGGAAATAATAATTATGTAAACCAAGAAACTGTAGTTAAATGCTTCAATTCTACTAAATGGAGAAAATTTGCAGTATTATGGTCATTGGACCTCAATATTATCTTTTTATGCCCAGCTAGGAATTTATGCTGTAAAGTAGAATACAATTACCATTTTTTTTTATAAATGTTTTCGAATTTGAAATGTCACAAAAAATTGCATTGTGTAAATATGCATTTAAAAAAAACACAGAAAAAAGTGAAGATTTGTTTTGCCATTTTTACTGGTGTACATGAAATATGTTAGAAATTTGACAAATGCAACATTTATACATGTATATCTCATGATGGTTATGAGAACTAGTGTTGAATTGGAAATGTTCTTATTTATTTCTACCCTTTTGTACTTATACTTGGCAAAGAATGGTGAAAACAAAATTGTTGTTGACAAACATTTTGTGATGTTTTCTGAACACACATCTATAAATTCTTAGAAGTAAATGGTTCTGTATTTGTGATACAACAGAAGCTCCCTTTAACGTTATAAACTGTATTGTAAATATACATTATTAATTGTAAAATACTTCTGTTGATTAAAGTAATCACCTATTCACAGGTGAGTCCTACACAAACACAGTGAAGAGCACAGTCCTCCATAAAGTTATAATTTATGATTTTTTTCCATTTTAAATTGTAATGTAGAAAAGTGTTTCAACAGACACTTTTATTTCTGAAATAATGTATTTAAAAAATGAATGTATTGCGTTAGTACAGGAACAAAGGTTGTATATTTATATGTAGTTTAAACTTGAAGCAATAATGAAATGTGGAGCAAAGGCACTGCATTTTACAATTCTGGCAAAGTTATCAAAACAGATAACATGTCTTTGTGACGTTACAGGAACTCCTTTCCGGAAAAGGTTTAACTAATTCAGGTACTTGACTGACAATATTCCAAAAAAGTATATTTTGTGTTGCATAGACGATGTTTATTTTAGTGTTGATAATTTCATTTTATTGGATGTATAAGAATACTACGCCTGTCTCAAATTTGTGTATTTTAATTCTTGTATATTCCCTCATAAATATTTAATAGAAAACTATTGATTCTTATACTGACATGCTGTTAACTTGTAGATCAAAATGTATCCATAGAAGTACATGTGTTTTAGATGATATTCTCAATTTTAGAAATGGTCCGCCACCTGATTTCAATGTCTGTCTATATATGTATTAATATTTTGCGAACCTCAAGTTTAAAAATCTGATTTCGATAAATGTAAACAAATGGTATATTAATTAATGCACTCAGGCAAAAACTTCTGTTCAAAATTGATTTTAGATACACGATTTTCCATGTGTAAACAATTTTATAATTCAGAAGGATTTTAAATTGAATTTGTAAAGCACATTCTGTTGCGTTGTTATGACAAGTGCCTACCTCTGGCTAACCATATACAACTAGTGCACTAAACCTTCACTTTACTGCCAATATTTCACTGTACAGCAGAACCTCTATATAATGCCCTCCTTTATAACATTACAGAAAAACTACTATATAATGCCCTCCTTTATAACATTACAGTAAAACTACTATATAACACCCCTCCTTTATCACATTACAGCAGAACCTCTATATAATGCCCTCCTTTATAACATTACAGTAAAACTACTATATAACACCCTCCTTTATAACATTACAGTAAAACTACTATATAACACCCTCCTTTATAACATTACAGTAAAACTACTATATAATGCCCTCCCTTATAACATTACAGTAAAACTTCTATATAACGCCCCTCCTTTATAACATTACAGTAAAACTACTATATAACACCCCTCCTTTATAACATTACAGTAAAACTACTATATAATGCCCTCCTTTGTAACATTACAGTAAAACTACTATATAACGCCCCTCCTTTGTAACATTACAGTAAAACTACTATATAACACCCCTCCTTTATAACATTACAGTAAAACTACTATATAATGCCCTCCTTTATCACATTACAGTAAAACTAGGTCACTTTGACCTCTTGTTGTTGGCAGATCAAATGTTAGCAGTAGGTGATCCTTTTGGTGGTCAGTGTAATTTGGCATTTATGGCACTTCATCCTCAACCTCTGAATTAGATTAAACTGATGCGGTCAGAATGACCACTGTGGTGGTAGTAGTTCTAGTTTACTAAATTACTGGTGATAGTAGTTTTAGTCAGAGTGACCTGTGATGGCCATTTCCACCTCAGATGTCATTTTTGGTCATTCCATTTCAATATAGTCTTTACATGATTACCTCCCTTTAATCGAGCGGCATGACAATAGTCACAACTTCTTTGTGGAAATGATTTGATTAAAAGACTTTTAAATGAATATCAACAATTTTCGAAATAAAGAAATGCCATTTTGTTAATTGTTATGACCGAATTATAATCTGCTACGCTTATCATATATTATAATGGCAGCTTTCAATCTAGGTGGATTATGGGGCTAGTTAATCAAAGCATAGTTATCCTTATCAGAAAAATATAGACATATTTTTTTATACATTTTAGATTACAATCTTCATTTGTAGTGGTTTGAAATATTCACCTCCTGACCAGAAACACAAAAGTATTTAGGTGTTTGAAGTAAATAACTGTCATTAAGAAAATAAAATGTTTTAGAATTGTTTTCAAGAAAGCTGTTGGATTCTTTTAAACTTTGCAAGTTGTAATGAAAGCATTATCAACTTGACAAGATTTATTCTCAAAGTTTTAAATGTAAACCATAATTAATTTTGAACATTTTCCTAAGGAAAACATACCTTTTAATAAATTTCATATAATTACTGATAGAAGTTGTTTGGTTGACTCCCGTCCTCATTCAGTTTCACAGAGGAATATTTTCTTGATTTTTATGCTATTTCCGGTTTTGAAAGACTCGGGCAGGAACCTTAAATTTTTTACAGTAAAATTCAATGGATTTTTTAAATATCATTTATGAAAAATCAAGACCTCGACTATATAATTTTTTTCTGATTGGGATGATGTTTTAATTAACAAACATAGAGCACGATTGATGTATTAGTAGGAGTTTCCATGTTTCCTTTCTGTTGAACAACATTCCGTTTGAACACTTGTTGTTTATATAACACAGCTACAATGATTATGATGATGATGATGACATTATGTTTCTATCTGATCAATAAAATGGCAGAAAAAGTACAGCCAGACTTCTGTTTTTAGTTTAACTGGATGTGTTATGGTATAAGGAGCAGCAGACTGTCTGTCTGTCTGTCTGTCCATACCGTGGTATACAAGGCAGCTTGACTTAATTTTTGGAGAAAAATGTTAAGAAAGTACAGTTTACAAACAAATGAGTCAAGTTTGAAGTGGAGAAAAATCGATGCATAATTAGTTAAGGCAAGTACGCTATCCACTCCGCCACACGACCACCCTGTACTGTAGTGTAGCTTAATGTAAGCTATCCACTGCGCCCCCCGACCACCCTGTACTGTAGCTTAATGTACACTATCCACTGCGCCCCCCTGACCACCCTGTACTGTAGCTTAATGTACACTATCCACTCCGCCACCCGACCCCCCTGTACTGTAGCTTAATGGACGCTATCCACTGCGCCCCCCTGACCACCCTGTACTGTAGCTTAATTTACGCTATCCACTCCGCCACCCGACCACCCTGTACTGTAGTGTAGCTTAATGTAAGCTATCCACTGCGCCCCCCGACCACCCTGTCCTGTAGCTTAATGTACACTATCCACTCCGCCCCCCGACCCCCCTGTACTGTAGTTAAATGTACGCTATCCACTGCACCACCCGACCACCCTGTACTGTAGTGTAGCTTAATGTCCGCTATCCACTGCGCCCCCCGACCACCCTGTCCTGTAGCTTAATGTACACTATCCCCTCCGCCCCCCGACCCCCCTGTACTGTAGCTTAATGGACGCTATCCACTCCGCCACCCGACCACCCTGTACTGTAGCTTAATTTACGCTATCCACTCCGCCACCCGACCAGCCTGTACGGTAGTTAAATGTACGCTACCCACTGCACCCCCCGACCACCCTGTACTGTAGTTAAATGTATGCTACCCACTGCACCACCCGACCACCCTGTACTGTAGTTAAATGTATGCTACCCACTGCACCACCCGACCACCCTGTACTGTAGTGTAGCTTAATGTAAGCTATCCACTGCGCCCCCCGACCACCCTGTCCTGTAGCTTAATGTACACTATCCACTCCGCCACCCGACTACCCTGTACTGTAGCTTAATGTACGCTATCCACACCGCCACCCGACCACCCTGTACTGTAGATTAATGTACGCTATCCACTCCGCCACACGACCGCCCTGTACTGTAGTGTAGCTTAATGTACGCTATCCACTGCGCCACCCGACCACCCTGTACTGTAGCTTAATGTATGCTATCCACTCCGCCACCCGACCACCCTGTACTGGAGCTTAATGTATGCTAACCACTACGCCACCCGACCACCCTGTACTGTAGTTAAATGTACGCTTCCCACTCCGCCACCCGACCACCCTGTACTGTAGATTAATGTACGCTATCCACTCCGCCACACGACCGCCCTGTACTGTAGTGTAGCTTAATGTAATCTATCCCCTGCGCCCCCCGACCACCCTGTACTGTAGCTAAATGTACGCTATCCACTCCGCCACCCGACTATCCTGTACTGTAGTTAAATGTACGCTACCCACTACGCCACCCGACCACCCTGTACTGTAGTTAAATGTACACTACCCACTGCGCCACCCGACCACCCTGTACTGTAGATTAATGTACGCTATCCACTCCGCCACACGACCGCCCTGTACTGTAGTGTAGCTTAATGTAATCTATCCCCTGCGCCCCCCGACCACCCTGTACTGTAGCTTAATTTACGCTATCCACTCCGCCACCCGACCAGCCTGTACGGTAGTTAAATGTACGCTACCCACTGCACCACCCGACCACCCTGTACTGTAGTGTAGCTTAATGTCCGCTATCCACTGCGCCCCCCGACCACCCTGTACTGTAGCTTAATGTACGCTATCCACTCCGCCACCCGACCACCCTGTACTGTAACTTAATGTATGCTACCAACTACGCCACCCGACCACCCTGTACTGTAGTTAAATGTACGCTATCTACTCCGCCACCCGACCACTCTGTACTGTAGCTTAATGTACGCTATCCACTACGCCACCTGACCACCCTGTACTGTAGTTAAATGTTCGCTATCCACTGCGCCACCCGACCACCCTGTACTGTAGCTTAATGTACGCTATCCACTCCGCCACCCAACCACCCTGTACTGTAGTTAAATGTATGCTATCCACTGCGCCACACGACCACCCTGTACTGTAGCTTAATGTACGCTATCCACTCCACCACCCGACCACCCTGTACTGTAGTTAAATGTACGCTACCCACTACGCCACCCGACCACCCTGTACTGTAGTTAAATGTACGCTATCTACTCTGCCACCCGACCACTCTGTACTGTAGCTTAATGTACGCTAACCACTCCGCCACTCGACCACCCTGTACTGTAGCTTAATGAGTCAGTCTGTCTGTCAACTTTTTCTTTTGAACGACTTCTCCTGAAGAACTGGAGGACCTAGGGTCATGATATTTGGCTAGTAGGTACCTGGGATGGAGTGCTATAAAATGTCCTCATTAAAATGACCTTGACCTACTTTCAAGGTCACAGGGGTCAAATATGTTAAAAATTTCACACAACAATATCTTAAGAACTATTTGGACTAGAGTCAAGATACTTGGGTATGTTATAAAGACCAGCAGTGCAAATCTTTTGTATAGGTACAGTTATGAGGTCAAAGGTCAACTTTAAGTGCTAGTCAGGGATCAAATGTCAACATGGGTTAAAAGCTTTAACAATCTTCTTCTCAAGTTCCACAAGGCCCAGGGTCATGATATTTGGCCAGTAGGTACCTGAGATGGAGTGCTTTAAAGTTTCGTCATTAAAATGACCTTTACCTACTTTCAAGGTCATAAGGGTCAAATATGTTAAAAACGTCAAAAAAACAATATCCTAAGAACCATTTGGACTAGAATCATAATACCTGGGTTTGTCATGTAGACGAACTGTATGAATCTTTTTCATTATTACAGTGATGAGGTCAAAGGTCAACTTTAAGTACTAGTGGGGGGGTCAAAGGTCAACATGCGTTAAAAGCTTTAACAATCTTCTTCTCAAGTTCTATAAGGCCCAGGGTAATGATATTTGGCCAGTATATACCTGGGTTGGAGTACTTTAAAGTTTCCTCATTAAAATTACCTTTACCAAGTTTCAAGGTCATAGGGGTCAAATATGTTAAAAACTTCAAACAACAATATCCTAAGGACCATTTGGACTAGACTTATGATACTTTGGTATGTTATGAAGACCAGCTGTGTAAATCGTTTTCTTGATTAGAGTAATGAGGCCCTCTGGGCCTCTTGTTTACACGAAGTATTCTAAATGTATTTCATTTGTTAAACATAGCCGTCTTTATTTGTCGGAGTAAGACAAAAATGCATCTAGTATCATTTTTACGTGCTACTAAAGGCGTTCGTTATTTTATTTATTTCTCTTAACTTGTCACTGTCGATATATATAAGCTGTATTGCACTTATGTGTTAAAAGGTCTATTTGTATGTGAAAAAAACGCGATTTACCCTATTTTGTACTTGACGTAAGTAAAAACTCGACAAAATTATGTGTAGGCACGTGCCTATTCGAGCCTAAGGTAGCTACGCTACTGTATCATTTATATTTCGGAATAACTGCTTCATAGCTCAGATTTCTTCTGAACTGAACGTTTTGCAATAAACAGAGTTGGATTAGCTCCCTTAGACCGCATTGCACGAAAATAGTCCGGTACAGTAGACATGGTCAATTTTTGCTAAAGGCCGAGTGTTAAACCTGGAACTGTTGTAACCTGTCACACTATATACATGTAATCACTAGAGCACTTCACATACACCGGACCGAACTTAGAAGTGAGGGAGCAAATCACATACATATTAAACCTGGAAGTATATCTACAATCGGGGCTAATGATCTTCTACAAATTGATCAATACAAAAATTCGTGAACTTGGAATCAGAACTGTTAGACAGTATTTTGCTCTCCTAAATATGTATACATATATAAAAAGAAACAAATCTCAACAACATGTCATTAGCGCTTTCATCTCATCAAGGAGATTATTTATTTAATTATGAAGTCATAATATTTAAAGGATAACATATGACGTATATATATTCATTTTTATGTTTACATTGTATATCTTTCTATCAATTGAAATTGTAAAATCCGACAACAACACAAATTAATCGCATATTTAAATATTTGAATATAACCGTGGCGAGTTGTCATTTGGCATTAATTGTGAAATTCAACATTTCACGTTCATCAGAGAATTTGATATTTGAAGCAACAGCTACTGTCATACTGTAGGTAAATATAGATTGTCATACTGTAGGTAAATATAGTCATACTGTAGGTAAATATAGTCATACTGTAGGTAAATATTGTCATACTGTAGGTAAATATAGTCATACTGTAGGTAAATATAGATTGTCATACTGTAGGTAAATATAGATTGTCATATCGTAGGTAAATATAGTCATACTGTAGGGAAATATAGATTGTCATATCGTAGGTAAATATTGTCATACTGTAGGTAAATGTAGTCATACTGTAGGTAAAGATTGTCATACTGTAGGTAAATATTGTCATACTGTAGGTAAATATTGTCATACTGTAGGTAAATATTGTCATACTGTAGGTAAATATTGTCATACTGTAGGTAAATATAGTCATACTGTAGGTAAATATTGTCATACTGTAGGTAAATATTGTCATACTGTAGGTAAATATAGTCATACTGTAGGTAAATATTGTCATACTGTAGGTAAATATTGTCATACTGTAGGTAAATATAGTCATACTGTAGGTAAATATTGTCATACTGTAGGTAAATATAGTCATACTGTAGGTAAATATAGATTGTCATACTGTAGGTAAATATAGTCATACTGTAGGTAAATATAGATTGTCATACTGTAGGTAAATATAGTCATACTGTAGGTAAATATAGATTGTCATACTGTAGGTAAATATAGTCATACTGTAGGTAAATATAGATTGTCATACTGTAGGTAAATATAGTCATACTGTAGGTAAATAT